AGGGCCAGACCCCACCCAGGTGTCTGTCTCTCTGTCCCTTGTGCTCTCTCACACACACAGACACACACACACACACGTCACACATCTGCTCCAGACCCGCTAGCGACTGCGCTCAGGCCCCGGCCGGCTGCTTCCTCCACCTGCAATCTCCGGCTCCCCGCCTCCCACGAGCCTGTGCTCAGACCCCAGCTTCTCCAGAGGCTTCCCCGACTGACCAACCCCTGAAGAACCGGCCTTTTCTACAAGGCATCCCTGCTTTCCCCACCTCTCCCAGACCGGGAAAGTGCTCACTGTCCGTGAGCGTCAGCCACGTGTCGAGCGGCCCGCGGTCCCTTCTGTCCACTGCTGTGTCTCAAGTCGGGCGATACGTGTTCGCTGTGCTGTTGAAACAAATCAACAGGCACAGCGACGGCCTGGCGCAACTCTCTCTCTCTCTTCCCCTTACACACGCGCGCACACGTGCCCTCTCACAGGCGGCAGACTCCCGGTGGGTAAAGGAGCTCACTTCCTCTTCCAGGGAGTCCAAACCTGAGCCCACCAGGAAGGGAGGAGTGGAAGGCGAGTGGACACAGAAGAAGAGGCCAAGTGGGCTGAACACTGTTGACCACTGATGGTGTGGAAGGAGAGAAAGTAAGAGTGACAGGCGCGCACACGCACACACAGCATGGGGGGTGGGGGAGGGCATTCTGCGGCGGGGCAGCGGTTAGGTCAATGGTGCAGATGTCCAAGCGACGATGATAAAAAGGCTGGTACCTGCTCGTTGGGACGGGGCAGGAGCAGGGCTTAGAGTGATCACAATAACTGGATGGGGAAAAGGAAGAAAAAAAACAACACCACGATAAATCACAACAGAAACAACTGATTTGTCCAAAAGAAAAGAAATCAAATCATAACGAGGAAGAGAGGGAGGCGCGAGGCACCAAACTGCAGAGACGGGTAGAAACCGACAGAAATGGGAGGACCGGGAGCATGGGATGGAGCTGACACAGACACAGACGCCTGAAGGGGGCTCCTCAGGGGCCTTCCCGCCGTGGGCCTCACCGTACCTCACTCTGTACCTGGGACAGCCACCCCATGAGGCATCCCCGGCCCCATACCCAGCCCTGTCTCATCCACACCGGGGCTAGGGGAGGCAGCACCGCAGAGCCCAGCGGGGACCCTCCAGTCCTGGGAGGGCTTTCTGCCCCAGGGAGGAACCCACGCTACCCCAAGTCAGAAGAGTGAGGGATGAGGAGTGGACCGCACACAGGGATTGGGGGCGGTCAGGCTGGGCGAGCAGGGAGTGACCCCAATACCCTGATATGGGGGTGTGTGCCCCCTCCTCCCAGGATGACCCCACAGGGAGCTACATAAGCTACAAGGATCATAACAGAAGAAGTACAAAGGAGGGCAATTTGCCAGCTCAGGAGACACAAAGTGTGTGGTGGGGTGCTATTCATCAGGTCTGTGGGGTGAAGACCTGATGCCCTCTAGCTGAGAGATTTGGGGAGGGCGTTCCGTGGGACATAACAAAGAAACTAGACAGTGGTTGTGGTAATCCCAGGCCAGGTGTGAGTGCTGGGGGAAGGAGGAGCAGCTTTTGATTCCAGATGATAAGATGCCAGGGAGGCAGTCACAGAGATAGCGGGATCAGAGATAAGGTGTACGTGGGCTGGGAGGTCGAGATATCACCACACTGGCCCCACGCAACCCTAGGCCAGGTGAGTGTGGGTGTGCAGGGAAGAGGAAGTCACTTGAGTCCAGGTGAGGAAAAGCTGCTAGGCCAGGGGCTGGGTGTGTATTTTTGGAGAAACTAGACAGTCACCAAGATGGTGGCAGTGAAACCCGTCAGAGAAGTCTGAGGGGACCTGGTGTATGTGGGTAGGGTGTGCGTGAGAGGGGGCCTGGTAGGCCCAATGACAAGGTCCCAGCCTGGGAAAAAGGGATTACCGGACACAGCCACAGGGAAGGAGGTCAGAGGAATAGGAAGTTATCTGTGGTCAAATGACCTCAGGTGTCACCCGGGCCAGGTACGAGTGAGTGTGAGTGGATCATCCACTGAACCATCTGACAAGGACCCAGGTGCGGAAGGGGGAGAGGGGCCTCCTGCCAGGCACTGAGATGGCAGGAGCGAAATCATCTGGTCGGAAGGGGTGTCCGTGTTTGCGAGGAATCTGGATGTCGTCACGGTCGCATGGATTAGGGGAGCGCGGCTCCGGGTAGGTGACGGTGACATAGGCTCCGAGGATCACGGTGAGGGGGCGGGTCATCAGGTGGGGGGCCTTGCCCTGGGGCCGGGTAACTGGGCTCGTAGGCCCCGTAAGGGAAACCCCTACGTTGGAGGAGGACCGCCCGGGAGCCCGCGGCCCCACGCCCCCCGGGTCACCGTGACCCTCTCCCAGCGAGCCGACAGCAGGGGGTACGGGGTGGCGAGGAGGAGGAGCAAGAGCGCCCCGGAAGCGGGGGCGGGGCCTGACGGCGGGGGCGGGGCTGCCCGCGGCGCGCGCCCCGCCCCGCCCGCCCCCTCCCCCACGCCGCCGTGCTTACTGGGCCTGGGCCGCTGGGGGCTGATATCCAGGTTGAGGTCGATCCTCCGCCGGGCCTCGCGATTCTCCTGCTTCAGCTTTGCTTCCAGGCGGGACAGCTTCTGCTCCAGAGAGGACGCCGCCATCTTCCCCGCCGCCGCCGCGCACCGCCCGGCCGCCCGTCAGTCCGGCAGACAAACACCGCACTGCGCCTGCGCCTGGATGACCCCACCGAGCCGCCGTCTCTCCGTGCACGGCGCATGCCCGCGGCGCGCACTCGCCCGTCCCTCGTGCCTACCCTCCGCGCATGCGTGCTTCTTCCCAGCGGGAGGGGTGACACTACCTAGAGCTCGCGTCTGGCAACGTGCAAATCCTCTCACCGTGATGCGCACGCGCGGATTCCGAGCGCACTCTCGAGAGGCGCTGTGTTGAAATCCATTCACTGTTCTGCAGGGAAGGGCGGGCGGGGAAAACGGCACGCCTGCGTACGGAGGGGTAGGAGCGAGCCCGCGCGTGGCCCTTGGTGCGCATGCGCAACATTGGCTCGCTCTTCTGCCGCTGTTGCTGGGAGTAGTTCCTCGTTTTCGCTGTTCCCCGCCCGGCCTGTTCTCTGGCACCCACGCTCCCTCCGAACTGCCTTTCTCGTCTGGGACAGTGCTTCATTAGGATCCCTGTTAGGCTTAATTGCTGCCTCCTCACCATAATTAGGCGCCCGTGGGGAGCCCTTTCTATTTCAGCAAGCTCGGGGTTGACCAAGGACTGGCGGGAGGGGCGGGGTAGGGCTCGGTCACTGTAGGGGCCCTAGGACCAGCGGCATGGGGGATCCCTCATCTCGACCACAGGGCAAGGGTTATGGCCAAAAGAGTTCCAGGTCAGACCCAGATGGGATATTTTAAGACTTTCCCTCATCTTCCCTCCCCGGAATGTGAGCCCAGCTCCTGGACAGTGCAGGAGACGGGCCTTGGTATTAATGCGCCTCAGCCTGTCTTTCCCGCCGCTTAACTGGTCTGATGGGTGCCAGGGAAAATGTCCGCAACTGGAATCCTAGTTTCCGGAAAGCAGCTTGCCTCTGCTCTCGTTGCCAGGAAGAGGCTCGCCTTTTGCAGACACCTCGAGGTGTCCAGTCCCAGGAGGTCAGGGTCAGTCAGGCTGTGCTCTATGCCCTACCTGCTCCTGGTCCAGTACAGGAACACTGGTGGGCGCTGAAGGCTTGTGGGGACTTCCGTGGTGACAACTTATGGGTGGAACAGCTACAAAAGAGTGGAGTCTGGAGAATGAACGGAATGTAGAGGAAAAGGGGTTCTCCAGAAAAAAGCTGGGCAGAGGATGCCACCTAGTTTCTCCTGATAAGCCGAGGTCTCCCTGCCTCTGCTTCCAGGACAGAAACTCATAGCCTTGATTCTGGCACGTGAGTGTCTTTGCTTGCCTGTCATTGGTCTGGTGAAATGGAAGGCTTAGACAACAGAAGTGGATAGCAGAGATCAGAAGTTTAGTTCTCCTAATTCATATTATTTATTAAGCACCCACTGATAGATGCTCCCTCACACAGGGAACACTTGAGAGACAAGTCCCTGCCTGTGCTCAGAAGAATGTAACCTCCACGGCAGGCGTTCTTAACCCCTGCAGTCTGCCATCCTTAGGATGTGCACGAATGGCCCTCTGGGACATCTGGGGGAATCTGTTGACTGCCTGAAGTTGCTTGCGGAACTTTGCGTGTATGTGTACCCGAGCATTTTCCTGGGAAAGGAGGTGCCCAGCTTTTATCAGATGTTCAAAAGTTCTAGGACTTGAAAAGGGTTCAGAATCCCTGCACTGGACATCCAGATTCTGTAGGTCCATAGTTCCCAACATACAGGCCTAGGACCACCTGCATCAGTTACCTGGGATATTTATTTACGGGCAGGTTCCTGGCCTCCAACCAGCCCTGCGTCAGTCTTTCAGGGGTGGGGCCTGGGATGTTTTGTTTTGGGGATGTTGATTTTGATGCATAGCCAAAGTTCACGTGCCTGTAGCAAACAACTTATAAATAAGGGATTGGCATCACAGTTGGGGGCGAGGGTCGGTGGTCCCTTGTGTCTGTGTCCCCTCCTTGGGAGAGAACCCCAGAGATAAGCTGTTTTGGTCGGGGCCGGTGGGGGGCGGTGGACAAGGTTGAAATCCCATTGGGATGTGCCCCACCCCCATATATGGCACTAACTGAGCTAGAATGTCCCCGGGGCAGGGCAGGACAGCCCGCCAAAGACACAGGTATCTTTGGCCTGAGAATCCTATGACTGAGTTAATCCCTCCATGATGTTCCACCCCAAATCCACTGGCCTCCTGTCTCTTCTCAGACAGACCAGTCCCAGGATCTTGCCTGGACCCCACAAGGTTGATGCGTCTGCTCCTCCTCTCCTGGCCTGGGCCCTCTTGGCCACCTCTCTTGAAGACAACAGTAGAGATTCTGGGGTGGAAGCATCCAGAAGGCCTCTTACCCCAACCTTCCCCACCAACGCTTCATTCCTCCTCCAGCTTTTCCCGCACCTCTGCCGGCAGGCCCTCGTAAAGGGTGTCCTCCACCAGGAGCCCCGCTTTCTTGAGCCCCGCACAGTTGCCAAGCTCTTCTGGCAGGCCCTCCAAGCGGTTGCCCTTGAGCTCCAGGCGGCTGAGGGCTCTGAGCGCCCCCACCTGGGGCGAGAGCTGGCTCAGGTGGTTGTAGCCCAGGAGCAACGTCCGCAGCTTGCGGCAGAAGAAGAGCTCGTCGGGCAGGGCCTCCAGGGCATTGTAGGACAGAGCCAGGTGCTGCAGGTTCTGGAGGAGGCCCAGCTCAGGTGGCAGGGAGCGGAGCCCATTGTGGGAGATGTCCAGCAGGCGGAGGCCAGAGCACATGCCCAGCTGGCTGGGCAGGGTCTCCAGCTTGTTGTGGCTGAGGTAGAGCTGCTCGAGTCCCCGGAGCTTACGCACGTGCTCGGGGACATAGGCGATCTGGTTGTGCCACAGCCTGAGCGTGACCAGCTTGCGACAGTGCTGGAAGCTGAGGATCTCCTCAATGGACCGCAAGTGGTTGTCTTTGAGGTCGAGTTCCTGCAGCGCGCCCAGGCTGAAGATGGCATGGGGGATGCGCTCCAGCCCGCAGGCCACCAGCTCGAGCTCCCGCAGCACCGCCAGCTTCTTGAGGCTGTTAAGGGCCAGCAGGCGGGCCCCATCGTTGTGCAGACTGAGCCGCTGCAGATGCCCGGCCACGTCAGTCACGCTGGCTGGCACCTTGCTGGCATTGCTCCGCAGAGACAGCACCTTGAGCTGCTTCAGCTCCCGGAGGCTCTCGAGGGTCGCCGCCCGAGCCAGCTCCGGGGGGAAGAGCCCCTCAAGGTGCAGCTCCTCCAGGCCGCGCAGCCCGAACACCCACAGGGGCACCTCGCGGAGCTCCTCACACTTGACCCGGATGACCTTCAGGCGGTCCCGCAGAAAGATCTGCAGGGAGAAGGGCAGCCTGGCGGGCGAGTGGAGCAGGCTGAGCTCCTGCAGGTTCACCAGCTGTGAGAGGCCCGGGGGGAAAGTGATATCACAGATGGCCTCCAGCCGGAGCGCCTCCACCTCGCTGAGCTCGAAGACGGTGTCGGGCAGCCCCGGGAGCATGCAGAGGGCCAGCTCGAGCTGGCCCCGGGCGTTGCGCTGCAGCTTCTGCCGCAGCTTCTCAGGCGTCCACTCGTGGTTCAGGTTGAGCTGCTTCAGGCGGCTCTCACTGACTTCAGAGAGGAAGACAGCAAAGCGCTTGGAGTAGAGCGAGTCATACTGGTCGATGAGGTGTAGCATGAAAGCAAAGTCATTCTTGACGTCCGGTATGTCACCCATGCCGGTCTCCTCCCGCACCGAACGGAAGGAGTACTCCTTGAGGGGCCGATGGAAGAGCCAGTAGAGCGTGTAAAGACAGGTTAGCCCGTAGACGCACACAAAGGAGATGTAGCAGAAAGCCAGCTTGGAGAAGAGGTGGGCCTTGGTGTGATTGCAGCAGAAACTGGCATAGCCTGTGACCTCCGAGGTCTCTACCCTGCAGGCCACCAGGAAACTGATCTTCTCCACGTAGACCAGGTTGTAGACCAGGATGGCAAAGAACTTGCAGACTTTGAGCACCGTTTGCCGGATGTACATGGTATACAAGATGTCTCCCTCCTCCACGTGCACACGGAACTTCTTGACCTTCTCAAACAGGGCTTTGGCCTGTTCACCCTCCTTCTTATCCAATAGGGTGACGGCCGGTGGCTCAGTGACCACCTTCTCAGGCTCCACCAGCACCTTTTCCTTCTCACCCTCACTTGCTTTCCCTGGCCCTGCGGAGGCCTCCATGGTCGCTGTCGCCCGTCCCGCGGTGGCGCCCTTGTGGTTCTCCCCAGAGACCTCGGACAGGGCCCGCGTGGTCCACGGTGAGTCGAAACACTTGCCCAGAATGGAGATGAAGTGCTCGATCTTGGAGCTGGTGCCAGGGAACTTGAACCAGAAGCTGGTGCAGACCATGAAGATGAGCGTGTGAATGACGACCAGGTAGGGGAAGTATTTGGCATACCAGTGGAGGGCTGTCTCGTAGCAGAGCTGGTTAATGAAGCTGTACTGCTGTAGGTCCAGGTTGTTCTTGAGGCCGCTGACCTCCCGGAGGCCCCCCATCTCCTCGGAGACCCCCCGTGGCAGCAGTTGCTGGCATGGGGCCTCGGATAAATTCTCCCTGAGTTCGTGACTGGGCAGACAGATGATCTTGTCCTGGGTCACCTGGGAATGAGGGTCGGGGGAGAGGGTCAAGGGGGGGGGGGGGGCGGGGGGGGGGGGGGGGGGGGGGGGAGAGGCGGGCTGAAGGTGGGAGGAGGCCCCAGTCCCTGAGTGTCCTGAGCAGGCTGTGATTTTGGAAGAATCGCTAAACCTCTGAAAGCACCTCAGTCTTTGAAAAAAGGAGTTAGCTTGAATGGGAGCCTCCCGCTCTCCCCCCTCCCCTCCCCCGCAAAAGATACTCAAGTCCTAATCCTTAATACCTATGAATAGATAGTCTTTGCAGAGCAGATGTGATCAAGTTAAGGTGAGGTCATTGAGGTGGGCCCTAATTCAGTATGACTGTGTCCTTTGGACATACACACACACACACACACACACACACACGCACACAGAGGGAAGATGAGCGAACGTCATCTATACACACACACACACACACACACACACACACACACACTGAGGGAAGATGAGCGAACGTCATCTATAAACCAAGGAATGCCTGAGGCCACCGGGGAGCCGGGAAGGAGAAAGGCATGGAACGAATGCTCCCTCACAGCCCGCGGAAGGAAACAACCCTGTCAACCCTTTGAAGTTCACGCTTCCGGGCTCCAGAATTGCGGGACAGTTAACAGGAAGACTTCCGGAATCCCCGCCCCGGCCCCCACCAGGCTCCGCCCCCACCAGGCCCCGCCCCCGCGCCCTCGCCTCCAGGCCCCGCCCCCTACGCCCAGGCCGCGCTACGCCCAGGCCTCGCTCCAAACCTTGCGCCTTACCTGCAGCGTGCAGCCAAAGACCCCGATCATGAGCATAGCCACGGTGAGGTACTCCGCCAGCACGTCCCACCAGGGTTTGAGCACCTTGAAGGCGGGCTGCTGTTCCGTGAACTGCTTGAACTCGGCCAACGGAATCATCTTTGCTGCGGGGGATGGAGAGGCAGGGGTTGCAGAGACTCTCAAGACGCGGCGCCTGGTCGTGGGCCCCCAGCGAGCCAGACACGTGCCTCTGCTCCCAATCTGTGCTCTCGCCTGCCCAAATCTGGCACAGCGCACGAACTGTGTGCCCCCTTCCCCTCTCCCCCAGACCTCCCCTCCTTCCTGAAGCCAAGCTACTACCGTTCTCCCCACTTCTGCTTCCCGGGATCCCTGCCCCTATCTGACGCTGCTGGCCCTTTCGGACGCGCAGTCCACAGGGCCGCCGTCCCCCAGCTAGCCCGTGTGGCCCTCTCCCAGAACCCAGCCACCGCCCACCCTTGATGCCGAGCCTGAAACCCTCGCTCTGCAGCTCTGACTCCAGACACCTGGTGTCCGGGCGGCTGGCCCCGGCTCTCTCTGCCACTGGGCCAGAGAGCCGCTGAGGCAGGCTCGGGACTTCCGGGGTGTGGGCCCCCCACCCCCTTCAGGGGCGCTCCAGGCACCACCTCCAACCTCCAACCGGAAAAGCCGGCTGGAGCCTGGCTCTGGTTACAGGGCCCGAGGGGCAGGGAGTGGCAAAACCGAAGGCTGGTCAGTTAGGGGCGGGAGGACTTAGGACACCTGGGTTTCTAGAGGGGCTGGTGCCTAGAATCTGGGGCAGAAAACAGAAACCTGGGTAGGGGGCTGTCAGGATGGCGGAAGGGCAGAGGACTGGGAAATGGAAAGCGCAGGGAGCAGCCGGAGCGACACCTACGACCCGGCTGGGGCCGGGCTGCCCGGCTCCTGGGCGGCCAGCCCACTCTGTCTGTCCCTGGGTTTCATTTTAGACCAAGGTATCATTATTTCAGATACGGGCGGCCAGGAGCAAGTCCCATGGGGGCGTGGGCCACCAGCTGGGACATCACCCTCCCAGGCAGGCAGCTGGGGAGGCTCCCTCCTCCACTCCCTGAGGCTGGATGGAAGGAAAGGGAGGCAGCAAGGCCCCCACTGCTTCCAAGGGGGCTCCTAAGCTCGACTGCCCCTCCCAGCATCCGTGCTTCTCTACCCTGCCAGTTTTCCCACGTGGGGTTCCTGGAGGCTGAGCAAGGGAGGGAGGCATCTGGGCCATCAGCTGGTCCCCCAGCCTCCCACCCATTGCCTAGGGGGAACCTGGCCCTGGCCCACACCTCAGCCAATTACTCAACACTTCCCTCCCTCCCTTTTTTTGGTCCCCAGGTGCAGGAGGCCTTGGGTTGACTCCTGGGTGGGGATGGGGTGGATGTGGGCAGGGATACAGGATGCGGGCTCTGCCCACCAGGCTGAGGGTGGGGCAGTCCACCACACCTTCCAATCCCATCAGAGGCCCTCACTTCGGGACGGCAGGGGCAGGGCCCCCTGACTCAGGCCCTGACTCACTCAGAATCAGGCGCAGGCAGGGGGTGCTCAGACAGAACCGAGGCTCACTCCCACAATGCCCCATCCTTCACTCTCAGTGTGACACTCTGTCCTAAAAGAAAAGCTGAGTGTATCGGTCCAGTCACCGGGGAAGCTTAGAGAAACATACACAGGGCAGCTCAACAGCACCCAGGGGCCCAATGTACACTGTAGCCATCCAAGGGGACACCTGGGGGCATTCTGGAGTGTGCGTTTGGATGTACACACTGAGCTGAGGGGGAGACCCAGGACCAGTTCCAGCCAGCCGCTGTTCTCCCTGCCCTGGGGACCTGTCCCTCTGAGGGACCCCACTCTGCTGTTTAACCTAAGAAGAGTACTTCTGGGGGCTGTGACAGAAGTAGACGGGCAGGGACCAACTTCCTGGCTGCATCCATCTCGCACTGCTGGGAGCTCTAGCACCCCCCCGCACCAGGACTACAATCAAAGGCAAAAAGGCAGAGACACCCAGGGTCCCCAGTGGAAGGCCCCGTGGCTCCCACGGAACAAGGTATATACACAACACCATCCGAGGCAGACACGGGGGTTATCATTATCTGTCTCCATGACTCAAACTGGATGGTCTGAACCTGCCATTAAGCTTCCACAGACACAAGACTGGCCCCCCTTTGTCTGAGCAGGGCTGGTGGGAGGGCCCCGGGGCAGAGGGCTTGAGCTAGGGGGAGTCCAGAGGAAAACAACCACAGGGCCACATGCAGCTTATGGCCGCTAGATGCTTCCAGGACCTCCTTTTATCCCAACTCCGGGGTGGGGGGGTGGGCTGCAACCCTCATTTTCCAGACTCACGGGGAGGGAAATAGCCAGCTCGAGGTTTCACAGCTACAAGTGGTATTTAAGGCGTAACCCCCAAGTCTCGTCTGGCTGGTAGCACCCCCTGTATTGTCGTGGGTGAGAATCTCTTGCTGAGATGCAACATCTTCCCCAAAAGAACCTCAGAGGGGAGCTCTGGCAGAGAACAGATGGGCGGGCGCTGCTCTGCAGGCCAGGTTGGGGGCCCCTGGTCCACCTAAAGACCAGGTACTGCCCCCTGCCCAGCCTGAGCTCCACCCATCCCTACCTCACCCCTGCTTCTCCTCTCTCAGGCCCTCCCCTGAGCTCCCAGCTGGCCTCCCGAAACAGGGAGTGGTGGGTGCTCCTGGTCCAGGCCCCTCCTCACCCACAGCCCATGCTAATGGGCAAGGAAGACACAGTGATAGCTGTCAGCTCTGAGACAGGCTTTGGAGCACACAGGTCCGATCTTTGACTCACACAAGAGAGAAACTAAGAAAAAAAGCGCAAGAAACTGAGGTCAGGGGTGGGGTCGGGGGGTGGCCCCTTAGCAGCAGATCTTGGGCCGGGCCCCGGCGCAGGGACTCCCAACCTAGTACTTTTCTGAGCTGCCCTGCCAGGACTCGGGAGCGAAGGGGGTCTTGAGGTTTACTAGTCCCAGAGGGGGTAACTTGGTAAGGACCCCAAGGGGTATGGTTCTGGGGCATTGAGGGGTTCGCAGAGGTGAGTTGTTGCTGTTGTCCCAGCAGGCAAGGAAAGGGGAATGGGGTCAAGATCGCCCCCCCCCGCCGGGGGTCTCCCCCATCCTGCTGATCTTCATTCCGTCCTTGGCCAGGCCTGCCCGCTCCCGGGCAGGAGCCCTTGGGCTGGCCACGGCCCAGTCTCTCGCCGCCCCCACCCCCTCCCCAGCTCCTTGTGTGCCCCAGCGGGCCTCGGGCTCGGGCGGCAGTGCCAGCGTCACCTGGGGCGGTCCTCACGTGGGCCAGACCCCCGCCCCACCACCCCGTCCCCGGGGACAGAGACCCACCTACTCACCGCTCGGGCTGGGACGCTGGGCCCAACTCCTGGGTCCCTGGGCGCGGAGCGGCCGGGACTCCCGCAGAGTTCCCGGGCCAGCCTGGGTGAGTCAGGGCGGGCGGGCGGGACAGGAGCCCGGGAGCCGCCCCGCCCTCCCGCCCAGGGGACGTCCCGGCCCCGCCTCCCTTTGGGCCCTCCCAGGTCGCCCCCCACTCCCGGCGCCGTGGGATTGCGGGAGGAGTCTACCCCGGCTCTTCCCCGAGGTGGGTGAGGGGCGGGCCGGAGGAGCAGGGGTCTTAGGACTTTGGGCCAGGCTGCAGTCGGGGACACTGAGGGGGCCCGGAGGCACTGTGCTCCGAAAACCAGCCTCTGGGCCTCCTTCCAGGATCCAGGCTGTATAGACCTTGTCAGGAACAGGTGAAGAGCCTCCTCCTCCCCCACCCCCACCCCCAGGTGCGACCACCTGGCCTTCAGGCACAACCAAGGCACCAGTGAACAGAGTCCGGGGAAGGGAAGGGGGCTTCCCTTTTCCTGCTCTGAGCACCCAGCCAAGGGAAGCTGAGCAGAGTGGGGGTGCTTATCTGTGTGACCCTGCCCAGGCTTGAGACCTGCTCTGGACTTCTGGGGGAGGGGTAGGAGTGAGCTGCTCTTAGGCCTGGGGTAGGGTGAAGCACAGGGGCCAGAGGGCTCGCTGGGATCCGGGACTGGAGTCCAGCCTGGGAGGTCAGCTTCTAGAAAGGATGACCGCCTCTCCACCCCCACTCATTCCTCCCCAGCCAAGGAGGCCTGAGCTGGGTCTTAGACTAGCAAAGCACCCAGGTCAGCCTGGAGGCGTCTGATGAACCTTGATGGGTTCTGTCTGCAAACCTCAAGGGAGAGGGGACCTGGACGAAATGAGAGAAGAAGACCCCTCCCCTGTGGGAAAAAGAAGCCCATGAGTTCACTAGACTCGACTTCACTAGGCAGGCAGAGACCTGAGACTCCAAACCTTGAGGATGGGGTCCCCCTCAGCTTAGGTTCCTGTGTGAAGCCTTGTGATGGGCATGACCCTCAGAGGCGCGACATCTCCGAAGTGTCTGTGGGCTCCACCACAGGCAGCCCCAAGACAGAGTTTCATTGTGAGGCCAAGATAAGCAAGGCCCCCTTCTCTCTTAGAGCTTCTGCCCGAGTGGGGGCAGCCAACACAGAGGTAAGCATGCAAACATGCCGGGGAACAAGATCTCCATCTATGACAAGTGCTGTGCTTGTAACTAAGCAGGGTGAGGTGGGTAATGAAAGCCAAGTCCACTTTGGACCATCTGAGATAGAGTCATTGCTCCCTCTCCTTCACCCCCTTCCCGCCCCTGGAGAAGCTCCTTCAGATCCATGCCCTGGGGATGGGTGAGGGGGGCGGTTTACAGCTTTATGCTGGAGTGAGCATCCTTTAAAAAAATAAAAAAGATTTTATCTTATTTGAGAGAAAGAGAGAGAGAGAGCGCACAAGAGTTCGGGGAGGGGCAGAGGGAGAGGGGGAAGCAGACTCCCCACTGAGCAGGGAGCCCGATGTGGGACTCAATCCCAGGACCCCAGGATCATGACCTGAGCTGAAGGCAGACCCCCAACCGACTGAGCCACCCAGGTGCCCCTGGAGTGAGCATCCTGATACACATCGCTTTGCACACTTATAACGAATCTCTGAGGTCACTGGGATGGAAGCCTCATGACCCCAGGCACATGACCCTCCTGCAGCCCGCTGTGTCCCCAACACTTCAGTGGTGCCTGGCACACCGTGGGCATTCAGTAAACGATGGGTGGGTGGATGATTGAGGTGTTGTCTTAGTTCACACTCCTCTAGCGCAGACCCTGAGACAAGGAATTGGATCCCAGTGGTCTACCTGGAAGGTGATCCCAGAAAGCACTGGAGTGGGGCAATGCGGAGGGGAGACTGGGAAAGGAAGGAGGCCAGTAAGCATTAACGAGGGTACGCGAATGAGGGTAAATGAACAGGTTCACGGGCAGCTAGGGCTCTATTCTGCTGGGGAGCTCTGGGAGATGCTGGAGGACACACCTCCACGTTGCCCCCACCCAAGGCGTGAAGTCAGCGATGCTGACACCCTCCCCCACGTGGGGACTGTGGGTGCTCAGATGACCCGGAGTGGTCTAGACGCCGGAGTAGAATGGCTACGTCACGAGGCACACATACTCACTAGGCTTTCCAGTTGTTCTCCAAAAGGACTGCCTGCTTTACATTCCCATTGGTAGTGCATGACTTTTTCCACATTGATAATAACCAGCTTTAAAAAAAAAAATCGTGGTAAAACACCATAACATAGAACCCACCATTGTGACCATTGTTAAGTGTACAGGTTAATGGCACTAAGTATGTTCACATTGTTCAGAAACCATCACCACCGTCCGTCTCCAGAGAACTTTTCATTTTGCAAAAACTGAGACTCTGTCCCCATGAAACACTAACTCCTCATCCCCTCCCCCAGGTCCTGGCTCCCACCATCTACTCTGCCTCTGTGAATTTGGGATTCTTCTAGAGATCTCATATAATTGGAATCATACAGTATGTGTCCTTTTGTGACTGGCTTAGGTCGCTGAGTACAACGTCCTCAAGGTCCATCCATGTTGTAGCAGGTGTCAGGACGTCCTTCCTTTATAACGCTAAGAAATATTCCATTGTGTGGTTGGACCACACTCTGTTGATCCATTCATCCATGGATAGATAGTTGGCCATTGTGGATCATGTTGCCATGAACATGGGTGTGCACTTAACGCTTTCTTTCTTGCTAGCTTGCTTGCCTGCCTGCCTGTCTGCCTGCCTTCAATTCTTTTGGGTGGGATTGTTGGATCATATGATACTTCTTTAATTGTTTAATTTTTCGAGGAACCGCCATACTATTTTCCACAGCAGAAACCACCATACTGTTTTCCACATCCCATTTTGTGTTCCCACCAACAGTGCGCCTGGGTTCCAATTTCTCCACATCCTCACCAACACCTGTTATTTAATACCCAGCTTTTTAGGTTTTGTGAACGTGATGCAGTTATCTATTGCTGTGTAATTACCACCAATCCTAGCAGCTTAAAACCACTCGCATTTATTGTCTCCCACGATTTCGGAGGGTCAGGAATCTGAGAGTGGCTACGATGGGTGGTTCAACAGTCTCCCTCCCCCGCCAGCCCTGGCTACCACGGCTTTGCTTTTTGTCACTATAGATTAGCTTGCATTTTCTGGAATGTTATATAAATGGAATCAGGCAGTGCATGGGGTGTGTGTGTGTGTGTGTGTGTGTGTGTGTGTGTGTGTGTGTGTGTGGCTTCTTTTATTCAGGAGAATGTTTTTGAGATGTGTCCCTGTTTTGAGTGTCTTGGTAGTTTGTTGCTTTTTATTGCTGAGGAATATTCCACCATAGGGTATACTTTGTTTTGTATAATCCCTGTTGCTGGAATGTTCTTAAAAGAGGGCAGTCCAGATCCCAATAAAATTCAGGATGGGTTCAGAGTAGCCTTGGAGGGACCTAGCACTAGAGAAGGTAGGAGGGGGGCATCTGGGTGGGTGGCTGTGACTCACTCAGAAGGGCACCGCTGATGAGTGGGCGTGTGGGCAGGTGGGGGGACTAGGCTGCTGTAGTGCCAGAAGGGGCTCACACAGGTGACACTCGGGAAGACTTGGGGGGAGGAGGTGAGGGCTAGAATGATCCAATCTGGAGGGCAGTGCCCTGAGGAACGGTGAGGGAACACCTCTCCCAGGCTGGAGGGGGGTTTTCATTCAAAGGATGGCTACTGAAGAGTTCTGACCTTGCTCTCTTTCTTCCATTCCCTGACCCTCAGTTGTGGGCACAACTCCTGAGGTGAGAAGACCCAAAGTCCTGCTTCCAGCCACACCCTAGTGAAGTCTATCCCCCCACCCGCTTCCCTCCAGGACAGGTTCAGCCAGGTGCCAAATGCCACCCCTTCTTGTCTGTGCATGGAAGTCCCCCGGTTCCAGACAAGGAATGAGCAGCCCATGTGTGGACATGCAGACATGTGATGGGGAAAGGGTTGGGGCAGAGGGCGCTGGTTCTTTGGGACGGGGTAGGGAATGGCTAAGTCTGAGAGAGGAGGTATCCGAGGCAGAAAGCACTGTGTGTGTGGGTGGGGGGGGGCGGCAGAGGGGGTAGGTTGCCTAGCAATAAGTGGAGGTGCAGGAGGGCACTTGGCATCAGTGGGCCAGTGCAGGGCAGCTGAGGATGGCCATCTCCTTCTTCACACTTCTGCCTCCTTCATGCCACTGTCCCTGGTCAAGGCCCTCACCTGAGACCCCCTGCAGGAGTTGGTAAAGTCACCAAAATGACACCTCCACTCCCGCCGGCTGTGCAGGGCAGCCTCGGACAGGATTGGCTCTGCTCCTTCATGCACCAGTTTTTTTTTTTTTAAGATTTTATTTATTTATTTGAGAGAGAGAGCACGAGAGGGAACAGGGTCAGAGGGAGAAGCAGACTCCCTGCTGAGCAGGGAGCCCGATGCGGGACTCGATCCCGGGACTCCAGGATCATGACCTGAGCTGAAGGCAGTCGCTTAACCAACTGAGCCACCCAGGCGCCCGATGCACCAGTTTTGACCCCTTCCACCCCATGCCCAATATTGTATCCGCATCCCCCCTCCCCCAAGCTGGGCTCTGCTGACTTGACCTTGCTTTTTCATGTGACACAGGAAGGTGTGGAAAGTGGGGGGTGCTCTGCCCTGCAAAAGGCTGGGTCACCTCTCACAGTCCTGTCTCCCCCTCCCCATCCTTCCTTTCTTCTTGTGTTCCCTAAATCCGAGTCTACCCCTACATTTCCAGGGCTGCATTCTCTCCGTAGTCCGCCCCCCCAAACAAGTAGGGGTTTTCTGGGGTCTGGGAAAAGTCTTGGATATGAGAGGGGCGGAGGCTCCCGAGGATTCTGGGGAGCCCGGCCTCCGCGGTCGCGAAGGCGAGGACAGGGACCGGGGACCCTGAGGGCCGGACTGGTTGAATGGGCACGAGGCCCGATGGTCCCGCCCCCTGGTTGCCAGGGCCCAGCCTATCCGCGTCCAGGCGGGCCTCGGTCGCCAGGTGGCTGGGGTGGGGGCCGGGGCAGGTGTGCGTGTTGGGAAGGAAGGGGCTAGGCCCTGTCGGGACCCTCAAGGGATTCCCCCCGAAGTCCCTGCGGCTGGGAGTCTGGGGCCCTCTGCCTCAGCCGCGGAGAAGCTGCGCCTCCTTCCACCGCGCCTCTCCCCGCCGCCCCCGGCGCGCTCCCGCCCGCCGCCTCTCGGGTCTGGATCGAACGCGCGCGCCCCCGTCTCCCAGTCCGCGGCCGAGGGGCGGGCCCGGCTCCCCGAGCCACCGCCCGCAGCCCCCTCCCCTCGCCCGCCCGCCGCGCGCGGCAGCCCCGGCGCTGCCGCCCGGCCCCACCCCAGGCGACCCAGCGTGGAGAGGCGGGCGGCCGGAGCCCGAGGTGAGCGCGGCGCGAGCAGGTGGAGCGGGCAGCGCGGACCGGGGCCCGGCTGGGGGAGGGGGACGGGCTCCGGACGCGGCTCTTTGTCTCCCCGAGCCCCATCGCGGGCTGCCGGGGCCGCTCCTCCTCCCGGCAGGTGCCCGCATCCTCGGGGAGGGCGCTGGGGGGTGGGGTGGGGTGGGGTGGGGAGGGTGGGGTGGCGAGGGGACCCGGGCATGCGCTCCCGTCCCCCTCAGCTGGAGGCTGGGGCGGCCCCCCTCCCTGTCCCCGAGGCTGGTGGTCAGGGTCCCTGAAGAGGCGAGGGGTGGAGGCGTGGGTCTCGGGTCCTGAAAGGGAGCAGAGGCGGGTGGGCTGGGGCTGGCAGGGCCTTTTAGCTTTGGAGGAAGGCGGTGGGGGTGGGACTAGGGGACAACCCTGAGCAGCTGAGCGGGTGGGTGGGTGGGTAATTGGGTGGGAGGGAAGTGGGTCGAGGCCGAGGTTTGGGTGCCTATGGGTGGCAACGCTGGGGAAGGGGCAGCGAGGTGCCAGGACAGCGTTGCCGTGCAGGAGATGGGATGCTGATCCGTCTGTCTCCTCATCAGGTGCGGGATGGACAAGAGGGACAAGGGCAGGGCAGGGGCCGCCACGCGGACGACGGCTTCTCGCCCTCCCAGCCTTCCCACTCCCAGGGCCCCAGGGTCTCCTCGACCCCCTCCCCCAGTAACCAGCGCGGCCCTCCGCGTCCTGGGAGCAGCGGGAGCTGCTGGGCGAGGGCCCCTGGCCGAGCGAGCTGGGGGTATCCGGGCAGCCGCTCTCCCGGAGGCTGGACCCCGGGTGGGACCAACGCAGAGCGCTGGGACAGGCCTCCGGAGTCCAGGTACCCCACCCTCTTTCCCCCATTCAGACCCCATCTTCCTGTCCCCCTTCCCTTCTGAGGCTCCAACCTCCCCTTCCTTCCTGGGGGCACCGCCTTGACTTGGCCTTCTCCCTGCAGCCTCCAGGCCCCCAGCTGCTGGGAGAGGGGAGCGGGCCCCTGCTAAGACCCCAGGCCCAGGCTCTATCACTAGCCCGGGACGTGCCAGCGGGACCACCAGGTAAAATGCCTCCCCAGTCCCTTTGGCAAGGGTTAGTGTCACTATCTGGAAACTTAATTTTACACATGAACTGGGGAGTGGAAGCATTTGTGGGTCACTGGGCGCATGTTGAGTGAAAGCCATTATTGGTCCGCAGGGAGGGCATAAATGGGAAAATGGAGACTTGGGAGAAACAAGGAGCTCTATACTGAGGGCGGCCACTCCTGTCCCTAGGCCAGGCTCTCTTGCGCAGAAAGGGCTTCGGCCCCCAGCTGAGGAACCCGTGACCAGAGGAAAAGCCCCAGAAACCCCCAGAAGGAGCGCGCTGAGCGCCGGGGCACGGAGAGGTACGTGACCTGGGGAGGAGCGGGGTTCCTGGGCAGTGAAGGGGACCAGCCCTGAAGTATCTCTGACCCTCCGGCCTTCTGCTTTGTCCCCAGACTCTTCCGGGCCCTCCCCAGGCGCCCCTTCCCCAGCCACCTCCCGTCGGTCCCGGGCTGCAGGCGCTGAAGTCGGTCTCCCTCGGGCAGCTCCGAGTGCCCGGCCGCGGCCTCCGACCGAGGCCCCCAGGAAATCAGTGAGCAGTGCTCCGCAGCACGGTACCGCAGAGCCGAGCCCCGCCGCCAGGAGGCGACCCACTGCTGGTGGAGGCCTCCAGAAGCCAGCCTCGCGCCCCTTGGGCTCCAGCGCCACTCCTCTGTCCTCCCCCGCCCGCCCCGGGGCCTCGCCGGGTGGAACACCTCGGGCTCTGGGGCCTCCCTCGCAGCCCAAGTCGAAAGGGCTGCAGGCTCTGCGCACCCCCCAGTCCACACCCCCAAGGAAGGGAGCAACTCCCGTGCTGGGTCTTTCTCCTCCTTTAGCCACGCCCTCTCAGCCGGGCTCGAAGGCACAGCTGGCACCGCCTCCGCACATCACAGGCACTTCTCTGCCTGACACGCTCCCTCCCTCTCCACCGACCACGCCCCCTTCCCAGTCCGCAACCGGCCCTTTGGCCACACCCCTTTCACTAGCCCCTCCTCCCTCTGCTCCACTCCCTCAGCAGACCCTTCCCTCTCCGCCGGCTACTCCCCCTTTGCAAGCCCCACCCACACACCTGGGTACCTCCTTTTTGGAGGCATCCGCTTCTCCCACAACCACTTTTCTGGCTTCATTCTCTCCATCATTGTCACCCCCTCCGCAGATTATGCCCCCAAGCCAGGCTTCTCCAGCTTTGACCCCTCTTCTGACTCCCCCCTCTCCCTTAGCCACACCTCCTTTGTTGGCTCCTGGACCACCAGCCACGGCCCCTCTACCAGCCAAGGCCCCTCTACAAGCCTCTTTTACTCAAGCGACATCTCTGCTGAACCCGCCCTCTCCCGAAGCCACACCCCCTCTGCAGGGCCTTTCCACTTTGACTACCACCCCTCCACTGGCCAGTGCTTCCCTATCTCCTCCCCCTCTTCAGGCCACGCCCTATACAGTGACCACGCCTCCCACGCAGGACACATCTCTGGCCACACACCCTCCGCAAGTCTCTCCCTGTCCTCTGACCACCCTCTCTCTGCAGGGTCCTCCCCTGTGCTCTCCATATCCCTTGACCTCACCATCTCTGCAGGCTGCACCCTCTCTCCTGGCCATGCCCCCTCCACAGACCCCACCTCCTCTGGCCACACCCCCTCTACAGGCCCCTCCCTCTCCGACCCGGCTCCCTATACAGGCCCCACCTTCTCTGGCCTCACCGTCTCTGCAGGCCCCACCCTCTCCCGTAACCATGCCTCCACAACAAACTCCAGTGTCTCTGGCCACACCCCCTCCGCGGGCCATTCCCTCTCAGAGCGTGCTCCCTGTTCAGGCCCCACCACCTCTGCAAGCCCCACTTTCTCCTCCGGTTTTACCCCCTCTGCATGACTCTTGCTCTCCCTTGGCCATGCCCCCTCCCCAGGCTCCACCTTCCCTGGCTTTGCCTCCTCTTCAGGCTCCTCCCTCTCCCCCTGCCTCACCCCCTCCGCAGGCCCCTCCCTCTCCCCTGGCCACACCCTCTCCGCGGGCCCCTCCCTCTCCCCTGGCCGCACCCCCTCCGCGGGCCCCTCCCTCTCCCCTGGCCGCACCCTCTCCGCGGGCCCCTCCCTCTCCCCTGGCCACATCCTCTCCGCAGGTTCCACCTTCCCTGGCCTTGCCTCTTCTGCAGACGTCTACGCTCCCTTTGCAGGCCCCGCCCTCTCCCCTGGGCACGCCTCCTCAGGCTCCACCTTCCCTGGCCTTGCCTCCTCTGCAGGCCTCCGCTCTCCCTTTGCGGGCCCCTCCCTCTCCCCTGGCCACGCCCCCTCAGGCTCCACCTTCCCTGGCCTTGCCCCCTCTGCAAGTCCCTCCCTCTCCCCCGGACTCACCCCTTCTGCAGCCCCCACGCCGCCCCCCGACCCCAGGTCCGGATGCCCCGATCCCGGGCCCCCGGCTGACCCTGGCGCTGGCCCCGGCTCCGCCGCCACCGCCCTCGCGCAGCCCGTCCAGTACGCTGAGCGGCCCGGATCTGGCGGGCCACAGCAGCAGCGCCACCAGCACGCCGGAAGAGCTGCGCGGCTACGACAGTGGGCCCGAGGGCGGCGCCGCGGCCTCCCCGCCCGGCGACGCGGAGCTCGCCGCCTGCCACCCGGCCTCCTGGAGCCGAGGTCCCGCCCCGCCGCTGGCGGTCCGCAGCACCCCAGGTGAGCGGCCCCTGGACCCCGCCGAGCTGTGGGAGGGGCGAGGTCGGGAGGTGGTAGGGGGGCGGGGTGGGAGGCGAGGCTTCCCCACTCGCTGACAGGGCAGCTGGGTCTGGGGCGGAACGGAGGGAAGGGGAGGGGCCTTGTGGCGGGAGCCGCGCTTCCCGCTCCTTAGGCCCGGCTTGGCGTCCCACCCCGCAGGAGCGTCCCTGCCTTGGCCTCCTGCTGCCGGGTCGGGCTCCGCTGACGGCCTATGCACCATCTACGAGGCTGAGGGGCCCGAGTCGGCGAGCCCCGCCCCAGGCGCACTGGATCCGGGCCCCGGCCCCGGCGCGGGTAGTGGGAAGGTGGTAGCTGGAGCAGGGGCGGCGGCGGCCTCGCGTGGCGCGAAGCCGGCGCGCCTGGGCGAGCTGCCGCTGGGGGCGCTGCAGGCGAGCGTCGTGCAGCACCTGCTGAGCCGGACGCTGCTGCTCGCTGCGGCCGAGGGTGCTGCGGGCGGCGGCGGCGGCGGCCCAGGGGGCGCGGGAGCTGGTGGCGTCGCGGGGGGCGCCCGGACTGCGCTCAGCGACGCCGAACTGGGCCGCTGGGCTGAGCTGTTGTCTCCTCTGGACGAGTCGCGCGCCAGCATCACCTCGGTCACCAGCTTCTCCCCGGACGACGTGGCTTCCCCGCAGGGTGACTGGACGGTGGTGGAGGTGGAGACCTTCCACTGAGCCAGACCCTTAGCCCCGCGCACGACACCCCTTCCCTGCTTTAGGACCCGCCCCTCCGGTTATGCCTCTCTTAGACTGCCCGCCTGCCCTCCTCCGGGAGTCTGGCTCCCGGTGGATTGGACATAGCCCCCGGAGGCCTAGATTTGGGGCCAGGCTCGCGTCCCACCCACGCCTCTGGCCAAGGTCTTTCCCCTCGAGTTCTGCCCCCTTGGCCTGGACGCACTCCCGCTCCCCTCGAGCCCCGCCCCCTCCCTGGCCTAGGCCCCACCCCATGTCCTGAGTGTTGTCTACCATGTGTCGCCCGAGTTTGCAATAAAGCCGGGGACACTGCAGCTTGTGCGCCTTCGCGGTCGCCGAGGGGGTCCACCGCGGGGCGGCGAGAGGGGTTGGGCCTGCGGGTGCTGGCGGCTGTGCACGAGAGGGTGGTAGCTCTGGCTGAAGGCCTCGCACACAACGCAGCGGTGCCTTTTCTCTACTAAGGATAATGGGCGCGTGAGGCGGGGTTGGGGTGGGACCTGGGGCTGCTGGGTCCCCGCGGTCCAGCGCGGCGCCCCCACGCATGTGCGTGAACCTGGGCTTCTTCCTCTGTGACTTATGGTGGAAATGCTAGGCGGAGGAGCGGCCCAGTGATATTGCACGATCGAGTGGGTGAGCTGATGCGTGCCTGGCGTGGCTGAACGACCGAAACTCCTCCTACATTCCCCTAAGGGAGCCGGCATCTCTTGCAGGGAGGGGGAAAGACATGTGGAAAGGGCTCTTTCAGGTCCGGGGCGAGGGCAGGGCGTCCCTTGCTGAGGCCCCCTTCTCACAGTGCACGCCCCCCTTTCCTGGCACCTGGGAGTGCCAAAGGGAGGGAAGGGTCGCCTAGGCCTGAGGGCGATCTTGGCTGTCTCCTGCGTCCTCCCAACCGAACCCAACCCAACCCAGGGCGCACTGCGCTCACTGAGGAGGCTCCAATGCAGAAGGTGGGTCTGCAGCTGGGCCCAGGGCTCCTCAAGAAGACCTGGTGTAGTGTACAGGCCCCTCCTGGGTCAGGCCCCGCCTCAGGATTCCTTGTCCCGGGGAGCTGACTGTGCCGAGAGGGTTCTGCGGGGAAGGAGCAGCCTCTGCCCAAGGTTGTGCCTCCCAACCCATGGGCCTCACCTTTCTGTCCATCTCAGGATGCCCTCCTCAAGCCCCTCGAGCCAGGCATCCTTGCCTGTGCCCACAGCAAGGGTCCTCAACAAGGCCAATCTGTCTTCAGGAGAATTCCGTGTCCTTCCTCTCTCAGCTGTCACCCTGACCCTGGACCCCTCTAGCCACACCCAGGCCCTTCTTCCCAAGTATCGCTGCCAAAAATGCAGACCCTGGGTCTTTTCTCCCTTAGGGTCTCCTCCTTTATAGCAAGGATGACAGAGGCCTTGTGGGGACTACAAACAGGGCAGGTAGAAGGACCGAGCGGGACCGTGTTGGACCCTCAGCCCAGTCTCGCCCCTAGACCCAGTCTCTGTAGTCCACCCTGTAGCCACACTCCTGTCAGACACCGATCACCAAGTCCTGCCTGTCCTCAGCCCTGATGTCAGCCTGGAGTCCTAGGAGAACATCAACCTTCTCCCAGTGGGACAGTGCACCTCCACCCCTGGGGGCCAGTGTATATGGGGTGGGGTGGGGTGGACAAGCATGCTCCCTCACTCAAGCTCTGAGTTCAGTGGCAAATCACAGAGATTCCCTTTCTAGCTGGGCCCTGCAAGGACCCAGGTGTCCTTGTTTCCAGATGCTGGGGGTTAATCCTGACATGCTGGGCAGCCAGGGAGGGCATCAAGACCAGCTGCTAAGACGGAGCAGGGCAGAACCTCGGACATTTCCCCTGGGGCCCTGCCCTATCCTGGGGAGCCAGCTGGGGGAGAATTACCCTGTGGGAGCAGGAGAGACAGCAACTGTTGGGGGGGGTCTCAGCGTTAAATCTGTACGATGGGAATGGTGTGCACACACACACCATTGTTGGGTGATGGGTCAACGCGTGGGACTTGGCTATCCTGGTGCATAACCAGTGTCACGCCTTGCTGCCTGGCAGGTATCAGGCCACCGTGGGTGGGGGCACTTCGGGTGCAGAGGGTAGGGCCTGGTTGGCATCTGCCTGGACCCAACTAAGATTCTCCCCCCGGGGAAGACTTCCTTTGCCATCCCTGGCTCTGCTGCTCCCCAACCTTCCTGCCCCCAAGGGCTCTGCCTCTCTGGGCCTCCTTCCCTCAGGGGAGCCCCTACTCCCTGTCCCTACTGCCCAGCTGTTTGGGTTCTGCCCTGGTCTCCTGACTGACCCCCAACACTGGTCCATCTGATGGTGCCCCCTCCCCCACCGAAGCCCTCCATGGCTCCCCAGTGCCCTCAGTTCAAAGCGCAAATTCTGGCTCCTGAGAAGCGGATTCTCAGTCTGGCCAGGCCCACTCTCTCCTGTTCCTTCTTCAGTGGCATCATGCGCCTCCTGCTGACCCTGCCAAGTCTTGCTTTCTGCTTTTGCCTTTGGAGATGACTCCACCTCCCACCCCCACCTTCCAGGAAGCCTTCCTTGATTCTTTTGGGCAGTTAACCGACTAGTCTGCAGGCTCAGCCCCCAGCCCCACCCCGTGGTCTGTCTCCACTACACTGGGGACTCCTCAGAGCCTGGCGCAGGGCAGACCGCCCTGAAGGGCTTCAGGAAGCGTGGGCTGAATGAACAGCAATCAGATCCCGGATCTTCCTGAAGCCCTGGGCCCCCACCGTCCTCCATGTCTCTCAGGGGAGACACAAGCTAAATCACCCAGGTGGAAAATCATGCCCCCCACGCAATACCCCCCCACTCTCACCATCTCCAGAGCTACCCTTTCGAAAACTGGCACGCCGTAAGGGTCCGTGTGTCAGCCTGCCATCTGAAGTCCTTTGCAACTTGTCCCCCCATTCTATTCCCCCCAACCTCCAACCTTCTGTTCACGCTGAACCAGCGCATGCCCTTTTCTCCCCCATGCTGCCCCCCAACCTGGGCAGTCTCTCTGGCATCCCTGCTGGCCTGCTGGGCCCCCTACCCCTGATTCCCTTAGACTGTGGGAGGCTCCCCTTCTCACTGCTTTTCAGGACAAGGAGCTGGGGACTCTTAGCTGCTTGCAGTGCCCCCCCCCCCAGGCGTGTTGTACCCTTGTCTGTGACTGTGTAAATACACTTTATTTTCCATCTTTCCCGCCTGGGCGACATGTGGAGTGTGAACAGGCAGTGTGCAAAATGGTGGTGGGCAGTGTGGGGGGCACATGGGAGAGCCCCTCGGATGCCCACCCTGGTCCCCAGGCTTTGTTAACACTGAGGAGTGGGCGACCGGGAAGGGGTAACTGAGCATGGATCCCCACCCCAGGAAGTGCCAGGGAGATTGCTTTTGACGCTGCTCCAGGCTCCAGGAGCACCTGACAGGGTCAGGCCCAAGGGTCACAAGGCCCTGGGGGCAAGGGGCTGGGGGCATTGTTGGACTTTGGCACCGTTCTCAGCTCTGACTCTGCAGAGACCACGGGACCACCGTGAGCAGCCGAGGGGAGGTAACCCCACTGGGAAGGCTCCTCCCCTGGGGCCTGGCCTTGGCCAGAGGTTGGGGCTGAGGACACAGGGAAGGAAGGGATGCGGAGGCTGGGGACCCCTTGGAGAGCAGGCTAGCTTGGGTGGGGGAGTCCCTCCATCATTGGCCAAGACAAGGTGATGGGAGTGTCTCAAAAGGAAGATGTGGGGTGCTGGGGAGGGGGGGGGGTCTCTTCACTTCCTTGCAGCTGCTCCGGCCCCCAAGAAGCAGGGGCAGACACTGCCCGCGGCCTGGGCTGGTTCCCGCTGTCCACTCACACCCCAGGTGGCCCTGCATACAGTAGGGGGGACTTTGGTTTCTGCTGCAGGGGCCATGATGCCTGCACCAGGCAGGAAAGCCCAGCCTGGCCATCTGTGCCCAGCCGCCAACGGTCCCCAGGGGCATCATGGGGCGGTAACTTCCAGCCCAGAGCTGCCCCTTCTTCCTCAGGCCTCCTTTAGCTCCTGGGCCCTTCCCAGCAAGGCCACCCTTGTCCCAGAAGGGGGACTGCTGGGAGGAGGGAGCTTCCTGTTCATCCAGTCCTGGGACCTCTGGGTCATCCCCTGCCCTGGCTGTTAAGAGGGGCAGACCCTCCAGGGAACCGGGCCCGGAGGGGTACAGACCAAGATGGGTAAACACTGCTGGGGAGAGCGGGCCTGCCGGGGGACCCTGAGGATCCTCAGACCGCGGCCCTACCCTCTGCGCCCCGCCGCTCTGGGCCTGGCCCTTCGGTGGGCGGGACCGCGGAGCGCGTGGAGTTTATCATGTGCGGCCACCTGCGGAGGAGCGGGCGCTGGCCCCCTGGCTCCCGCACGCAGGGCACGGCCTCAGTTGTCCAGGCCCTGGCTATAGGGCGCGGTCAGCTCGTCGGCGTCGCTGTCTGAGCTGCCCTCGCTGTCCTTGGCCGGCCGCTCCAGACGGCGGAAGAAGCGCGCGTCGCGCGGGGACAGTGGGTAGAGCGCGTCCTGCAGCGCCGCGCCCACGCCCACGCCGAGCAGCTCCTCGTCCGACGACGGCAGCGAGTCCTCATCCAGGTGCCGCGCCAGGCCCAACCCGTCGAAGGCCAGCGGGTCCTCGAAGGGCGGTGGGCCTTTCAGCAGCCGCACCTGGCGCAGGGAACCGGCGCGCTGAAGGCGGGCACGGCCACACCGGCGGACGGAACCGGGCCACCGGGCCGCTCCTCCCGCCCCCACTACCCCCCCCCCCGCTGCTCTCCCCGGCGCCGCCGCCCGCGCCTCTCCCGCGGGGGGACACGCAGGGCTTCCGCCCCTCCCGCGCCAGCCTGCGCTCACCTCGGCCTTCAGCTCCTCGATCTGGTCCTTGAGCTCGCGGATGTACTGCGACGAGTCCGAGTGGTTCAGTTGGCCCTGGATACGGCCCTCCTCCCTCTGCGGGGCGGGCCAGGTCACGGGGGGTCAGGGCAGGGCCCGCCCCGGGGCCCGGCTCCCGCCCCGGCCCCCGCAGCTCACCTGGATCTCCAGCTCGGCGATGCGCTGCCGCATCTCGGCCACTGCCGCCATGCTGTCCGCCTCCCGCAGGCGCACGGCCATCACCTCCTCCTTGCTCTGGGGGCAGAGGGGGCGAGGGCGGGTCAAGGGGCGCGGCGGGGCGGGGGCCGGGTCGAGGGCGGGGAGGGCGGGCGGCGGCGCACCTTGCACTCGGCCTCGGCCTGCTTGCGGCGGCTTTCGCTGAGCTGCGTCTGCAGCCCCTTGTTCTGCGCCGCCAGGTACTGCAGCTTCTCCTGCAGCGCCGCGCGTTCCGCCTCCACGCGGTTCAGCA